TTTCTTATTCCTTGTTCTTGATACGTACTTAAATGACAGTTTCTTATATAATAATTTCAAATGAGAGCAACGGGATTTACCTTGCTATAGTTTGATATATTTAGTTTTTCAGTTCTGTCTGTCGGTCTGTCGGGCTGTCTGTCTGTCTGTCTGTCTGTCTGGATTCGTTTTTGGATTTTTTCATGTCCATATTTGTGGTCTTCATTTACTTATTTCTCATATTTATTGAGTACTTATATTTCGGTGGTTTCCAGTGCAGTTGGGAGACTCCATTATTGTAGTCAATAATTTTGAATTTAAAATGTGCACATAGCTGTATCACACAATCAATCTCCAGTTGAACTGATACATTACATTTGAAATCATTCCCTTATGATAGTTGAGATGAAATCTGCATGATTGAAATTCTCAAATCTGAAAGCAACTGTTAAGTCAGACAAAGAATAAATCCCTTAACTAATAAGATATGCGTTGTGTACAACCCTGCTTAACTGAAACTGTGATTAACTGCAATTGTGAACCACTGATCCCGTCAGGTTTAACTTATGCAGATGAACCTTAACTCATTTGCTTATGTATGTTTGTGGATGTCATTTATTCATGTACTTCTTTCAATGGGGAATTATTATTTGTTTGATTTCTTCACTCACTTCGTTTGAAATCACGCGCAACAAGCTGGTTTGATTTATGTCAGAATTTTTTTAATGCAATGGCAAGGAACAACAATCACTGTAGGCGGCACCTACACAGAAATGGTTCCTTTCCCCCCACCACGTTACAATCATGGGCCAAGTCACCAAGGAAGGCATAATATTTTGCTACATTACAGCCCCCCCCCCGCCTCCCCCTGCCCCGCCCCACCCGCCCGCCCCACCCCGCTTGCCAAACGCCTAATGTATTCCAAAAGGCATGACTGTGTTGTACATTTGTATACTGACCACGTCTTGTATAATCGGCATGAGGGCGAAAATACTACTCTTCCCCGACCCCAGTGGGCAGCGCACACAGGACGTCATTCTTTTGGAGGAGAAACTGCAATGCCTGCTTCTGATATCTTGTGAGCTGGTACCCCAACTGGATTGGAAGAGCTACAAGTACAGCCTCCAGTTCATCCATTTCAAATTTTAGTCAGCAATATAACTGTGCAGATGGCAGATATTCTTCGAATTTGTCTTTGAAGATGGAGGATGTATCTCATCGAGTGCAGTGACTTGAGGGTGCACCCAAGTGTAACAATTTCCAAACACACCCATTGCTATGTAGCAATACTTGCAAATTTCTCTTTGTAAAAACTCAGAACTCTCCCTGATTACAAGGATTAAGGCTGACATGCAAGTGAGGTCCAACACCACATCTCTCATTCCGTGTACATTTCATACCATTCACTTTTTGTGAAATCCTCACTCCAAGGAGACGACCCCTTTTGGTTTCAAATTCAGGAAAAATTATAAAAGGGAACAATAATTCAAGAACCTCCAGTACAGAGCTTGATGGCGCCACTTTCGGGTCAATTTGCTTGCAAAATGTTGGCAATTTCAAGTGACAAGTCTGGGCATAAGGTGCATTAATTTAGGTCATACATTCCCCTATTGCAATTACATGGATCTCGGTGCAATGAGAATCAGAAAATAGTGTTAAAGTAAGTAGCGTGGTGGACAGATAATTCGACTCTTTACTTTCGTGCACCCTGAAAAGCATCTCGTTGGCCTTCTTGCAGACAAAAGTTTACTAAAAATGTGTGTGAAAACTGGAAAACCCCATAAACCTATAGTCATGGAATTTAGTGGGTATGTTCAAGTCAATTTTTTCTATGCATGTACCGATTTTCATAAGTTGTCGTCGCTCAATGGCCGAGATCTTAGGGGGCGGAATTGCCCCCCCCCCCCCCCGGCTAAGAGATGCTCAAAATAACCCATCCCTTTTAGGGTTAAACTGGTCAGAAATTGCCCATATCGCACCACCAAGCATGTCCAGTCCAAACACATTTAGGCCCCTTAAGCGGCCGCCGGACCCCACACCGTAATTGTTTTGGACCCACTTATTCGGGACCAACAGTGTTGTCCCCCCCCCCCCCCCCCCCCTAACGAACTGTGTTCTAGATCCGCCCTTGAGTTTAATGCCTTGATAATAGCAACAGTTACATGGCTTTTGGTTTGCAGAGTGAAGAACTGCAATCATTAATGTCATGACCTTTGGAGTCATTGCAATCAAAATAAAGGACACGAACTAGAAACTTTGACAACATAACAAACAACCACTATTGTCAAATGCATATTTATTACAAAAATGGCAACTTACAGACCTATTGCACATTACAAGTAGTAATCAATTGGCATAACATGGAAAGTACACTACAGGGTGAGTGAAATCAAAGGACATCCAAATATTGCTCCCCATTTTTGTCTCAAAAAGTTAGGCATCTGTGATGTGAATGTGGATATAATAGGGTTTTCTTAATGACAAAAAAAAAATAGGTGAAATAGCTTATGTACTTAGCCAGGGACAGAAATTTCAATAGAACAACGTTTTGACTTTGTCCGTGCATGTCAATAAATGAAAGTGACATTTCACTCTTTGCATAACAGCAAACAAAATTACATTTTTTGGTTGGCTTGGTGGAAAACCATTAAGTCAAAATACATAAATCCCCCTGCATGGTTCTTGGTGTAATTACAAGTGATCCAGTGTAGTTTGTCTTGCGAGAATACACATTACTTTTCCAGTTATACATGCACACTGTTGTGTATCAGTGACACAAAATACACATTACAAATGGTACAAAACAATGTTTACGGAAATGTACAAACTTCATCAACTTCACACAAAGGCAATGATATTCAGTACGTTCATTGTTTCAAGAACAATTCATGACGTCCCACACTCATGCGCGGTTCCATGCAAGGGGGTGGGGGAGCATAGGGTGCTGTAGTCACCCAAATTAATTTTGTAACCCCCCCTCCCCCACCAAAAAGAAAGTTCGAAAGCGAAGACACGCAAACGCTCCTAGCCTAAATAACATCTGGAGAAGGGGGCAGCTGTACACTATAAAGGAATATTGTGTGCATGATTGCACACAATGATCAGCGCTCCCTATTCACACTGTTGTGTGAGCCCCTCCCCCCCCCCCCCCTATTGATTTGCGGAGGCTGAAGTGTCCGACGAAAAATACAATTGTACATTTCAGCATGACACATAGCAACAATTTCTGGATTCACCCCGGCTAGCCCCCCCCCCCCCCCCCCCCCCACCAAATAAAAATATGCTCCAGAAACGCGCCTACTCACACTCATTGAATAGTTAAAGATGCTTGGCAATATCAGTGATTCAATTGTTATAGAGATTAGCAACGTTGCGCATAAGCAGTTGTGGCTGCGTACAAAGTACGTGTCTTCTTTGGTCTTGCCGATCCTTCATTTTATTTGGGAAGTTGGAGGAGGTCACGATTTCGTCCTGTGTAGAGAAATGATAATACAACACTGCAGTAGCCACTAATTTCCGTGCATGTCAAAATTGGTTATGTTGCTTATAGTGTTGCCACCCATAAAACAAGGTGAGGTAATGTAATTCCGATTTCTTAATTTCTTTTCATAATTCATGTTCAAATTGTACAAGTGTCAAGGCTATCAATGTCATCAGAATATCAAAAGACAGACAAAATACACAATTCCGACATACCTACCAATTGAAGTGCATTACTTTATATCTTGGGATACTTCCAGCAATAGGTAACAGTATGGATGACCTATAAAGAAAAATATCATTATTACAAGGACAACATGGATATGGGGACACACATTCTAGAACTGGAAACACTATTGTCCTTCATAGTTCAATATCCCCTATTGTCGCCAAACGCGGATCGAGTGGGGATGCCCCCCCCCCCCCCCCCCAAATAAAACCTAACATCAATGACTGAAATGTACTTCTGTCAATGATGGCGCCAAATCGGAAAGGGACACAGGCTTCACATCAGTCCACTCTAGTCAACTTCCAGTTTAGTGCTGGACCGTTCAGGAGTTGATCTGTAAAAGGCCAAACAAAAAAATTGTCGGTCTGTGGTCAGCGCGCGCGTCGATTGCAATCATGCGCGTCAATCCTTTTTTCCCAAATTTTCCGCGGTAGCTCCAACAAAAGCCTCGATTGCCGCACCTCCTCAATTTCTTGTTCGAAAGAGCACCAAGGAAGGGGAAATTGCACCAAGGCAAATGATCGAGGGCACCAAGGCAAATTAGGGAGGACACTAATGTACATAAGGACACCCAAAAATGCAAAAATAGTACCCCACCTTGTCTGTACTTCCAAGCTTTAAAAAAGAAGAAAAACAAAAGGCCGCGTCGCCGCATCAACCACGGAACTTTGGTCTGACCAGAGACCTGATTTTTTTTCCTTTGGCCCAATGAATGAATATACAAGTTTGTTTTTAAAAACACTAAACACAGGTTCCAGTGGTCATACAGTATATGCTCAGAGCATCTGCATGCCAAACAATTTCCGCAGCCTGTAACCCTACTTCAACAGAGCCGGGGAGGAGCCGAAATCCCCCCCGGCCCAATGGAGGACGGAATAGACTATTCCTTCAGTCCATGTTAATAGTAAATCTCTACACGCGTTGCGTTCCATTTCCGATTCACTACGGCACGAAACATCTGACTGGCGATGTGCATGTCGTTGGCCAGCCCGCCAAGTACTACCATGGAGGAATAAATTCTTATTCCTCCATGGTACTACCGTACTGACGTGTCCATACGTACGTACGTCGTACGGCTAGCTGGCCGACGGTGTATACGCATGAGGGCGCACTTTACATGAAGGATTGACAGAAGGCAGGTAACAGCCACCGGGCCGCGATATTTTTTTTTACACAACTATCTGGGGTACTTTGTGCGCTTTCCTATCGATCCTATGGGGCTTGGTTTTTATAACCAGGCTTGAGTGGAGGCTAGGGGCGAAGCGTGGATGGGGCCGCGGGGCGACGTGGAAATGGGGCGAAGCGTCCGACACCCGTTCAGTTGGACCATGGTTGGACCATGGAGGTAGAATCCAAGTTGCCAAGAAGGCTCCAGAAAATGACGTAAATACGCAGCAGCTGGGCAACTGACACTGGCAGCAGGTTCCAATTTTGTTATTAAGAGGGTGAGTGTATTTTTAAAGCATAAATGAACTGGGTCTGAAGTCGCAATGTGGAAATCACTTTCAAAATTTCGCCGAGTCAGATTCCAAGATGGCGGATGTGTGGCCTATGTTTACGGAGGCAGTCCAGTAAACTGGCCACATTATGGGGCTAGCTTGCGGCTAGACCCACTAGTGTGGCCGTGGTATGCTGCGCTGAACCTCTGGTTCAGCGCAGCATACCGCAGCCACACTAGTGGGGCTAGCTTGCGGCAAGCTTGAACCTAAGTAGCAAGCTTGCAAGTTGCAGGCTATCATGCAAGCTTGCTGGCTATCACTCTAGCCCAGATTGGACGAAGTCTTCATTGCAATACGACTGAACGTAGGGAGGAAAGGGAGTCCACCAGGGCTAGCTATCACTCAAGCTTGCAATGAGCTTGTACTTTGCTTGCAGAATTAGTCGCAAACTTATTTTAGCTTGTCGCAAGCTGGATAAGATTGTGGCAAGCTCCCTGCAATCTTGCAGCAAGCTTGCCGACAGCTAAATTTTCTGTACTAAGGGTTATAACTAAGGCACCGGATTTTATGGGAGTCAAAATTTCATGTGACACTGGAAAAGTGTTTAAGACCAGCTAGCTATGTCTTTATCATCTGTTTAAGACCGGCCACATGACGGGCTCTCAACCAATAGGAATGTGTTAATTGTCTTGGTATTTATGAATTGCAGATTATGTCGTGTTCTATTTCTGATTCATTGCTCTGGAGGACTTTTTTAAAAGGGAAATAAAAAACGAAATTGCATTAGGTCTTAATCCTACATGTAACTCGTGAAATATGAAGTAACAATTACAGCTAAGTACATTTAAGCGCAGAACTAGACACTTATATTTGCCATGATAAAAATGTCCCCAAAAAACGTGCACTGCGCACGTTCAGTGCATGCACGTTCAGTGCATGCAGTGCCAGTTCAACAACGAAAACAATCGGGGACCAGTTCAGTCAAATATCTAGCTTCCATTTTTTACCCATTTGGTTGTTTTTTTTTTGGGGGGGGGGGGGGGGGGGCGGGGTCTTTAGAGCCCGCTTATTTTTTGTTGACTGTTCATTCATTGTAATACATGAGAGTCCCAAATTTCGGACTATTACAATATTAGGGTTTTATAAATACCATGTTCCCAAATTTTATAACGAGATAGGGGAGGGGGGGGGGGCCTTCGCCACCTGTTATGTTGCCTGCTTCATGGACAATCAACCTTGAACGATCAACTTGCAAACGCACACACATACATGTTCGTTTGTTTTAATGTAACTCTAGGATTTTCTATTTTTCCTCTTCATGGGTCTAACTTTTTCCAATAGCTCCCGTACACATTTTCTAATTGCAATTATCCTCGATTTAAACAAACCCATACACACACACCTTTTGCACTTAGTAGTATTATAGCAGTGATTAAGTTTTACAACTTCAATTTAGTCTGTGGTTAATATAATTTCCGTAACTGAACTCGGACTCAGTACCCCAAATGTTGTATAGGCATAAGAAAGCTGTTCTGCAAAAATACAAAAAAATTATTCCTAATAAGTTTGATTTTATGATCATTTTGTGGAGACTGCAGGTCAAAAATGCCACAACCCAATAATTCCGCTTGAGTTAATTTGGCACAGACATTACCCCTTGTTTTCCTTCCCACAGGGCTTCATTGCCATTGTGCAAAATCACTCCAGTGATATTTGCGATACATGAACTTCATTGTATGCATTTGTTCTTCCACAGCCCCATTTGTACCACCATACATGCCCTGCCTTCATTTATCATGATAACAGTGGAGGACTTTGAGCGGTATGCTACTGACCATCTACCACGCAGTGTCTATAACCATGTCAGTGCTGGCTCCAATGATCAACAAACTCTGAATGACAACCGCAGTGCTTTTAAGAGGTAAATGTACTCAATAGCTGTATGATGTTTATTTTGTTTTTTGGGTTTTTTTTTCAATTTGATGTGTACAAACTTAATGCTGCCGATTGCTGAAGCGTGACATCACCTCCTGCCCAGGTCAAGCTCACCTCCTTGGCAACGGTTGATGCACATTCCTTAACGACGCATTCCACATGTATTCGTTTTGCGTACATGATCACAGACAATAATTTAATCCTCCCAGATGCAAACGTACATTCTGTGCCAAGTTGTCCTTTCAGTCAAAATCAATCAAGTGACTGTTTTCAACAGTTAAGAGCTCCCAGCCTACATGAAGCAGTATTGACTTAGCTGTGACCATTTATGTAACTTGCTATGCTTTGACTGTAGGTGATTGGTAAGCCAGCTGTGCCTACCACTTGCCTGTTTTTGTCTGTTGACTAAATTTGACTAGTCACAGTGCTTGCTTGAAATATGATCTGACTGTTGGTGACCAGCCTGTGTAAAAGGCATGGCACAGGAAGAGGATTGATATTTTTTACTATCAGTGACTGTATATAGCAGGAGGGTTAACATGCTTATTTTATAGAACATTTTCACAAATTTTAGTCCCTGAAAGTGATGCCTTGCAATAGATTGTCACCATGGTCACCACACCAGTTCAAACCAGATTTGTGCCATTCTTGTGATTGATATTGCAATTAACCTCTGAGTCTGAGTGTCAAATAAATATGGAACATTACGGACACAAGAAAAAATAAATCAAATAACTGAATAATACAATATTTTTTGGCCCAAGTAACTTCCTAGGTGTTTTTGTTAGGATGTAGCCTCAATATTGCAAAATCCTCCAATTGGCCTCATGGAAAAATAGCATACAGCCTCAATCCTGCAAATTCCTCCATTGTTTCTTGAACATGGTCCATGGAGGGATGACCATGCACTGCCTGAATCCTGCAGAATCCTGTGGCAGTGACTGTCAATATGTTGAGGCTTGGCCAGTAACATTCTGGAGCATTACGGAGGATTTCAAGCATAATCCAGGCCCACCGGTATATTTATGCATGGCTGAGCAAAAACAACACAAGGTCTGGCCCAATACCTTGACAAAGTGCATCCTACGAAATCAGTAAAGCACTTTTGCCATGTAACCTCAATCCTCCAAATTCCTCCACTTTGGCATTATGATTTTGAAGGATTCAGGGCAGTAAGGGATAATTATTAATTAATTAAATATTCATTGCCATTATGCACTATCCACTAGTGATGGCTACCACAAAAGTCTCAATTATCTCAAGGTGCATTGTGCTGATTTTTTTTCAGGTACCGCATCCGTCCGCGGGTGCTGAGAGATGTCTCCCGCAGGGACTTATCTGCAACCATTCTAGGCCATGAGTTCCCGTTGCCCATCGGCATAGCTCCTACTGGTTTGCAGCGACTGGCCTACAGCGATGGGGATCTGGCAATGGCAAGAGGTATAAACATGCATGTACCTCAAAAAGTGACAGTTGGGACAGTTTTGCACACCAAGACAGTTGCGTAACAACGGGGGCCCATGGGGAACATGTGCCCCCAAGTGGATATCCGTGCCCCCACCCCTCCTGTGCCACCATTTGACATCTTGAACTGAACAAAAGTATACACTTGCGTTCAGGTGTCTCTCCCCCCCCCCCCCCCCCCCCCCCCCCCCCCCCCCCCCCCTGAAAATCTGTGCACCCTTAGGTGCCCCTTCAGAAGTTTAACCCTACCCCGGTAGTTACGCGACTGCACCAGGGAAGCAGTTGCGTGTATTACAAGTCCCTGCAAGTCCATCACAATCATGACAATTGCTTCCAGTCCCAATTCAACTCACAAGTTATTCAGATGAACTGCGACAAAGGCACCATTGCTGATGATCATCCACTGTTGCTTGTGACGTGTGACTGCATTGTAGACTTAATAATAACGATAAGTAAGTTACTTGTAAAGCGCCAAGTCAGTCAAACATTGACGTCGACGGCACTTCACAAAAATACAAATCAACCAGTTAAAATTTCAAAGCAATCGAAATTAAATTGTCTAAAACAGGCAGATATAAACGAACAGACATATATAGAACATCAATCAAAGCAAACAGCGTGACAACCACGACAAAGAGACTTAAACGGCCACGACAAATAGACTTAGAAAAGACTTACACAAACAAAGTGGGAAAAACACACTCAATCAAAATGTACAAAAAGTGCGCGTTCTTTCAGCAACATGAAAACAATTCGCACATATCCCTGTGTGATTTGTTCTCGTTTTGCTAAAAGAACACTTAACCTTTTTGTGATCCGTGGACAGAACTTCAAAAGGGTGGTTGTGTTTAAACTTCCGTAACTTGAAAATTACATGAGTGATTTGAATGATTCTTGTACTAAAAGAAAGCTTAGGAATTGGGCTTTCATATCCTAGATTTTGAAAGTGCTACATGCAGAAGTTCACTTAAACTATGGTCCCGATATTTGGGTTTCGTTCGGTTTTTTTTACTCTCCCTGTACAACCAATGATCTGTATATATAGCCTACCCTAGCTTGTAGGCCTATTGTTGCACTTGTAGTCCTATCAACTTGACTGTAGCCATGGTAGAAAACAAAGCAATGGGATTGTTGTTTATGAGGAACGGTCGGGCAGTTGGCTGCGCACATCTTCGCGTCAGTGCAACAATGTCGTAAAACTCCATTCTGCAACAAAGTCGTATCACGCGCAAATACCCTCCATGCAACAAGGTCGTATCTCAACGTCCATTGACTAATTTGCGTGTACATCCGGGTTATTTTAAGTGAGATACGATCTTTTGACATTCTGAAACTCACGTACGGCCCATTTTAGGAGATATGACCTTGTTGCACAGACACGACGACACGGTCAATGTGATTCAAATTAGGTTTTGCCCTTCACCGACGTTTTAAACACTGTATACTCAGTGTGTTACCTACCGAGTGAAAGTTGGAAAAAAATCACTCGGGTGGGACTCGAACCCACGACCTCCTGCTTTCTAGTGCAGATGTCTTACCACTCGACCACCGAGCTAACGGGATCGGTTGGCCGGTTCGAATCTGATGTACATAGCAGCGGGTACCGCATAAACTATTATAAGATGGAATTTTTGCGCCGGGGTGATATAAATCAAATTAGGTTCAATGTGGCAAATACAATATACAAATCACCCACGGTCAATGTGGCAAATACAATATTCTACCTTTAACTTAGAAATGAAGCCAAAACAGTATATTATAAAGCTGAAATACAGTGTATGTTGCCTCAAGTTGACAAAAAGGGGGAAATCCACTGGTTCACATTTATAGAACCATAGCTCAGACTTTATAGATCTTGATGTGGTGCTGAATTGCTTGAACTTGAACACAAACCACATGTCACATGTACGATCAACATCAGTCTCTCATAGCATAATCAAGTCACCTATTTAGTATTTCCACCCCAAATTATTGTGTTATAGGCCCTATTTGTCAGAGTAGACTGCATACTGTTTAACACAGCTAAAACAAAATAGTCCAAGTAATATATTGTAACACCAGCTTATGCACATCTTGGGCACTGATTCGTGGTCTGTGGGTAAAGCTGCAGGTTGTGGGTTCGAGTCCTGGCGGGGTCATGGTGTGTGTGCCCTTGGGCAAGGCACTTTGTCACTCATTGCTTCTCTCTACCCAGGAGTAAATGGGTACCTGTGAGGGCAGAGATGGTTATTGTGATTGAATTAGCTTGCTTGCGCCTAACAGGCTGCATCGAGCTGTATACTCCCCAGGGAGCTGAGATGGTATTTGGAATGTTTCATGGGCCCAATGAGCAGGGGTAATAATGATGTAGCGCCTTGAGCACCAGTCTCGGCGGTCTGTGCTTTATAAATATCCACTATTATATCTGTTTAAAAGCTGCATCGTCTCATGGCGTCATCATGATCCTCAGTTCCTACGCAACTTCCAGCATTGAAGATGTTGCCTCTGCAGCCTCGCCCGCCGGACATCTCTGGTTCCAGCTCTACATCTTCAGCGATCGGCGACACACAGAGCAGCTTGTGCGCAGGGCCGAGAGGGCAGGATATAACGCCATCGTTGTCACAGTGGACACTCCCTATGCAGGCAAGAAATACAACGATGAGCGGTGTGGCTTTAACCCTAAAGTTAGGTGGGTACCGTCTGTTGCAGTCATTGATTGTTAACACAGGCCTTTAGAAGTCAAAGTTGCAACATCACTATCCGGTTCGTTAGTGTGACGTCACCTCCAGCACTTTCTGCACGATTGGAACCGGAAGTTAACGCAGCCCGAGCGTTTGCAGCCAATGGGCGCTAGTAATCAGGGGTGTGCGCGCGTGTATGACGTTTTTACTAACGAACCAGATAGATATGGTGAAAGAATGAACTACTTAAAAAAATGGAAACAAAAGTCTGATTCCAGATATGCAAATTAGTTGATTTGATTCTGACCTGGAGTTGCTCTATCTTACTAGGAAGTTTCCCTAAAGTATCTGTCACTAAATCGAACACTTATGGTATATATTCCTTGCGCATACAAATGGAGAATCAAGGTCTAATACAGGTGATTCACAATACAGTGCACCACCAAGGGGTTAATTGCCACGGAGAATCCATTTTTCAAGTTTACGGTCAACAAAAATATGGCAGACGTGGCGCGACTTGAACGAGTGCCACTAGAAATCTTGAGGAAAGTTTTGATAGATCAGGGCATAGAATTCTGCCACCTCTCAAAAAAACACCATCTTGATAAAAAAGGAAAGAAAGAAAAAAGGTACTTTCATCATGCGGGCAATATTCCACGGTTACTCACGTTACATTTTTGATGTACTTTTGAGTTTCCTTGGGCTGTAATTACCTAACTGAAAAGGTTTAATAACTGTTATCCCCGTGGTAGATAGAGTAGACCTAGACCTACCTAAGCACCAAAGATGACATCCAGAAAAATGTGTTATGTATGATAAACAAGATGCAAAAAATCAGTTACTCACGTTACATTTTCGTAACATGAGTAACCAATTGTGTGCGTCTTGTTTATCATACATAACACATTTTTCTGGATGTCGTCTTTGGTGCTTAGGTAGGTCTAGGTCTACTCTATCTACCATGGGGATAACAGTTATTAAACCTTTTAGTAAGGTAATTACAGCCCAAGGAAACTCAAAAGTACATCAAAAATGTAACGTGAGTAACCGTTGAATTGCCCATGCGCTTACGAAACTACTCACCAGACAAACCAAGTGTCCCGTGGCATAGCAAATGTGTCGACCGTCCCCACAATGCACTGTGAAAAATGGAATCTCCTTGGCAGCCTCTTAGTGGCGCACTGTATTGGGAGTCACCCGTTTTGAAGTATTAGTGGCTGGGTGTACAGTATTGAACAATCAGAACGCTGGTAGGCAGCAAGTAGATTTGGTGAGTTTATGAAGTTAGGGTACATGTACAAAGTAATGCCCAGAAGAAAAAACAAGGTCAGCAGAATATACGCATAAAAAGCTTTTTTTTTCCTAAAATGTTCATTTGTTTAGGAACAAAATAACTGAGTCCAAATGTCTGTTTTAAAATGCCCTCTATTCAATGCGTATGATGTTGAATTTATTGAGCAGGTTACCCAATGTTGAGGGAGGATATTTCAACTCCAGTGTAAGTTCAGGTACCCCGGATAAGTACGACTCATCTGAGATCTCCCCCTCAGTGACATGGGCTGATATACAATGGCTACGGTCCCTGACAGAATTACCAGTCATTGTCAAGGGAATTATCTCAGGTAGTATCTTTTGTTTAAGAATGTCAGATTTCTGTACATTGGAATTTTTTTTAGAACCTCTTTAATAATGGGATAAATTTGACCACCAGATTGTTATTAAGATCAAATTAAGGTTTTGTGTTGCCCTCACCCGACCGACCTAAATATCTGGAAATCTCCAGTCGGGTTATTTTGGGGAACAAAATCATGTTTAACCTTGCCGTTACTGTTTCTTTGTAACGCCGTAGTTTTGCATTTCGTTACAAAACGTACATACATATTCCTAAATTGTAGTACAGTTCAAATTTACCATCTGAAAAAAACATTTCATGAATTGACAACAGTAGAGTTATTATGTGTCACATTTGCACTAAAAAGTTAGTAGATTAATTTATGGTGGTATATTACGCAGAATGAAATTTTCTTGCAACATTTTCTTGTTCTGTTTCTTTCTCTTTTTTTTAGGGGAGAATGCTCTTGAAGCTGTGGCAAATAACGTTGATGGCATTATTGTTTCCAATCACGGAGGAAGACAATTGGATGGCGTCCCAGCACCTGTGAGTCACAACTGTAGAATCCAACAACTCTGAAACCAAACACATTTGTTAATGTACTTGGATTGTGTTGTTTTACCTGATGATGATGCATGGCGGAAAAAAAATTGGAATTAGCTAAACGCATACTTTCAAAAAGTACAAGGCAGCTTTGCCTTACAGAAATAAGCTCATTGACAGCTTGCATCACTTTCTGCCCAAAATGTGAATCAAATTTGTTATCAATCAAACCCAAGGCAAATCACAAGCCAAACACAAGGTAAATCACAAGCCAAACACAAGGCAAATCACAAGCCAAACACATGGTAAATCACAAGCCAAACACAAGGCAAAACACAAGGCAGATCACAAGAAAAACACCAGGCAAATCACAAGCCAAACACAAGGCTAATCACAAGCCAAACACAAGGTAAATCACAAGCCAAACACAAGGCAAATCACAAGATAAACGCAAGGCAAATCACGAGCCAAACACAAGGTAAATCACAAGCCAAACACAAGGCAAATCACAAGCCAAAACACCAGGCAAATCACAAGTCAAACATAAGTCAAATCACAAGCCAAACAAAAGTCAAATCACAAGCTAGATGAAACGCAATTCACAAGTTATAGTCACAAGAAAAATCACATCAATTCACTTGTCAATCACAAGTCAATCACAAGTCAGATCATTAGTGATTAGAGATGTTCAATGACAAACAATTCCTTTGTCATATTTCACTTGACAAGCTTACGACTTGACTTGAAACTGGATGACTTGTGACTGACTTGTGCCTGCCTGACTTGTGACTGACTTGTGCCTGACTTGTGACAGACTTGTGACTGACTAGGGACTGACTTGTGACAAACTTGTGAATGACTGACTTACAACCCTTGATTCATGGCTTAAAAACCCATCATTAAATCTACAGCTTATGTTCTTAAGGTCTTCTTGCAAATTGGCAAAATGTTATTGCTTTTGCTGAAAATCACACAGATTGATGTTCTACCAGAGGTGCTGGCTGCAACTAAAGGTACTAAAGTGGAGGTGTACATGGATGGGGGTATCCGTCAGGGTACTGACGTCATGAAAGCTCTTGCCCTGGGTGCGAGGGCAGTATTCATCGGCCGACCAGCCTGGTGGGGCTTGACCTACAAGGCATGTGTGCATGTCTGTCAGTCGCGAGGTTTTTGAAACTTTGCTTTGGTCTTTGGCATCGGGTTTGTCTGTAGCTTTCAGAGTCGTTTACGTGTAAAAAGGGAATCAACTTTACTCAATCTAAACTTTGGGTTTTGTCTTATAGGTGTTCTTGTCGCCAAGCACGGACCCAATTTGAGTCGCTGTCGGGGCTTAATGTACTAAAACCAAAGCGAAAGATGAGGCAAAGGTTTTGGAAACAAAGATAATATCTGTGTCTTCGGTTAAATTTGCTTTGGAGCTTGATAGTCTATTTGTTGTTTCTGTTTGTTTGTTGGGGTGTTTGTTTGTTTGTTTGTTTTTGGTGGGTTTTTTTTTCCATTCCTTTTTTCGTTGGATTTAAGTGTTTGCTATCTGCAGCTTGTTCAATTGCGAGGTTTCTGTTTGGCATACTTGGACATATGAGACTTCAGATCATTACATTTGAAAAAAACACTTGTTGCGATAACCTTAAAGAGAATGTACATCATTGGTTTTTGATGTAATTTTCAGAAATGAACTATTTGAGGGGTTAGTATATATAGATCAAATATTGTTACAATGACATTTTTGAAGTTTTGTGTTCAAAAAGGTTGGAAAAACCAAGAAAAACAAAAATGTTTAAGTAGTCTGATTCCTTGACTCCACAAAAGATAAAATGGATCAATTTATAGATGATGGAAAATTGTAAGGCACGGGAACCAGTCTAGCTGGCCTGCACCCGTTCATGGAACATGTAACCAATAGCAAACAAAATTTGGACTGAAAAAATGGTTAATTTGGAGTAGTAGTTGAAAAATGGTTAGGTTTTTCCAACGCTGGTCGGACGACCACCGTTGGAAATGTATACAAAAATACCATTTTCTTGAAAATGACTTCACACCAGGTACCATAATTTTACAGAATGCTTTAGACTATCATTTACCAAAATCCTAGTAAGGTATTTCGTAAAAACTTGGTAGTTTTATTTTTCGATGTTTTCAAATGTTGTATATTCCCTTTAACCATTAAATTTCATTCTCAATTGAACCCTGATGTGTGTCTACAATTCATAGAAACAATTCTTCATAGAAAAAAATTAATGACTCAAAACTCCGGCAGAAATTTTCAAGTAGATTTTCACATTTTTTATGAAAATGATTGCACAAAGTAAATTTGGCGGCATTCAAGTTTGAAGAAATTGCATACAAGCAACACATTTCTGGAATCAATCAATCTTATTTAGTCAAGGTCTGAAATACTGTCTTCAGGCACGCAACTTTTCCTCGGGTCAGCTGATTTCCTCGTTTTTCACTTAACGCTTACGCCATTAATAACTGAAAAACACTTTATAATAATAATAGTGAACATTTATACCGCGCCATAACTGTCAATATGACACTCCTGGCGCAAATTATGAAATCTTTTAAAAATTGGAGTTTCCTTGTTTTTAGTTTATGCCAAGTTGCATGCCTGTGTCTTCTTTTACGTGAAATTCTGTTTGTAGTTTTCCACACAGAGTTGACAGAATTGTCTCTTTACACAGGGTGAGGAAGGAGTTCAGCAAGTCCTGCAGATTCTCCGGGATGAGTTGGACCTAGCCTTGGCCTTGTCAGGTGTGTGATCAAAGCTATGTTACTTTATACAAACCGTTGATGACTGCAGCATACCCATGTCAGTTGACCAATATAGGATTTTGCATATATTCTTCCCAAGTGAATTCCTGAGATTGAGAATGACCAACTGTAAAGCACCCCACAAAAAAACCTTGTACATTTGTGATGCGATCAAGCTAAATGAGACGTTTGTCGACCCTGGTCAAACAAATGTTTTATTACAGATTTGAAAAGAGCACAATCTCAGCATTACTTCTGTGAAAACCGCATGCTGATACCACCTTTAGTTAAAAACAATTATGGAAGTAGGAACACATGTAGCTTGATCGCATCACATTTATATGGGTCATTCCATCGGGTTTGGGAACAAAGTGTGACATATGACCATATTAAGAAAAGCATTAATGCCTTGCTAGCAGTTGCTCTACATAATATTTGTTGTTGGGTGTTTCACTATACTGCAGAAAGTTTGAAATCATTTCAATGTATTTTGCCAAAAATATGAGCAAAAAATGTCATTTTGGATTTAACATTGACACCATGTCAGTGTTACATCCAAATATGACATTTGTACCTTTTTTTTTAATTTCAAAACATTACCCAAATTCACTTTGCGTACTTCTTACTATATGTGCAACACAATAAGAAAAGCTTTTGTTATGGTAGTCAGGTATCAAATTGAGCAGAAATGATAGCTTGGTTGTATGGATGAACATTTACACAGTGTAAAACCCAAATGACACCTCCATTGAGTGACTTTTACACCGTTACATCCACACTTCAGGTATTGCTTCTGCTTTATTTGAACCCTGCAAAAAATGGCAAAAAAAGAATATTTGGATGTAACATTGACATCCGAATGAATACATTACATCCGAATTAATACATTTTTGCTCATATTTTTGTCCAAGTACTTCCAAATGATTTCAAACTTTCTCAAGTATTGAAACACCCTAAGACAAATATTATGTTGAGCAATTGTTTAGAATGCATTTATACTTTTCATAATATAACCAAATATATGGATGTAACATGCACTGCTTCCCAACCCGCGGTGGAATGACCCACATGTGTTGAAGAAAGTCCCAAGTGCTTGGGCTTTGAACCTTGTTTCGACGAGTGTGACAGAAAAGACTTTATGTATTGTGTACACTCGTAGAAAATCTCTGGCAGAATCCTATTTTATTCCTATTTACAATAGGTTTTTTACCTATTTTCTCCTAGAAAATCGGTAAAAAAATATATTTTATTCCTATTACATTAGAATAAGTCGGTATATATGCACTATTTCATATCTATTTTTCTTGTCGCCATCCTATTTTATTTCTATTTTTCAAACATTTTTGGACATTTTTCGGGTCCACGGACTATTTTTTTGGCTATTTTCTTGAGACTTAAAATATTTCAGAAATCCATAGACTGTTTTTATTTTCCTATTTTGTGGACTGTACCCAGGCTCCTCACAACACAGTCTGAGTGACAAATTAGTAGTCTGTCTTTAAGTGACCTTGCATATCATATTGGCCTTTAGAATTTGCATTTTGTTTCTCATGTTTTCAAATGTTTATGACTTTTCATAAATACCTAAGACAGTTTATATTACCCATTCCTATTGGTCGAGAGCCCATCACGTGGTCAGTTTTAAATGGCTAGTGTTAAAGACTGGCTGGCTGGTCTTAAACACTTTTCCAGTGTCATATGAAATTTGGACTTTCTATGAAAGCTGGTGCCTTTTACCATTTTATTAGTTAAATTTTCACAATCCTCGAGGAGGTATGTGTGTCAGTTTTTCATTGTCCTAAATTCACAATACACCTGCACAGCTGCATTCTGCGTCACACCATGCAGTACGCGAGTCATCACGCAGTACGCGCGACAAGCGCCAATATAAGGAGTTGTTTACGACTTGATCGCAAGAGGGTCATACCATAATAGCTAGCTAGAGGGGTTTCCCGAAAAACATGAAGTAAAATTGTTGAACAAAATCTTTGGAAGTGTATAATTTTTGACTTGTTTTGACTTTTGGACCGAAAGGTTTTGATGTTTTTTAGCCTTCGGCTCGGGTAATTATCAGCATCCAGACTGCAACCGAGCTTAAACATAGTGTTTAAAACTGGAAAGGCACAAGTTTATTCCCTTATTAATGAAATTATGTCCAATGAGCATATCAGGCTGCTAAAATGCACATTTGGCTATTATAGGCTTCCAAAATTTTAGCTGCCGTATTAATATACAATAAAAGTACAAATATGGTAAATCATTAGAAAACGAATGATTTTCAACTGTAATTTTACGTGTTGTTTATTTTGGTTTAATGCAAAAGTTATTTCTCCTTTATGAAATCCAAAACATGGCTCTATAAAAAAAATAATATGCATTGATTCTTAAATGTCATAAAAGTCATAAATATCATTAAAGTCATAAAAGTGCACACATCCTTGAAAGGTAAGAAATGCTTGTTCTTTTAGACTCATCCCTAAAGGCTGCTTGCTGATGCCATTCAGACCCCCTTCACGTCTGGAAGGATATGCATCATGAAGCAGCCTATTTCACTTCGCTCTTCTCGATCTTTGGCTGAAATCCAACTTCCCTTGTATGCAATAACTTGCTAAATGAAAAAAAGACAGTAAACACTACATGTACTTGTGAAACATAAGTACTCTACAGTTGCCCTTATTGTAGTCCACGTTGGTTTCATTGGATATTTTGACAGGAATGCAATCTTTCCTTTTTTTTATGAATGATAAAAAAAAAAACAGTCCTTATTTGCACACAGGCTGTGCTTCAGTCCGTGACCTTAATCCATCCATGGTGGTGCTTGGACCAGATGTTGCTGAGGCCAGGCTGTGACAGCTGGTGGTGTGCAATACCTTAAGATCAGGGAGGCCATGAGAGTCCATCAAAAATTGGCTGGTTATTACGCTCCGATGACAAGTACCCCCTCACCGGCAAAGAAAGTACAGTTGGGGGTGACCGACTGACGCCAACTTGCCTGACTGCAATTTTGCCGCAACGCACGACCGGACCACTGCGTGTACGTAGTACAAATCCCCTGGTGTATGTGCGTCACACACAAGGAACGGTGCGCGTCAACCAGCTAAATGTCCCGCCCATGGGACGTCATTGCTAGGTAAAAGAGCACCCTCTTTTGTTGGCGCACGGAGCCCATACCACGGATCCTTCACTCAAGGATAAATGACTGTTCTGAGCTCCAGTACAAAATGCATTGAGCGGACATGCCTTAATTGGTTAGACGCGTGATAACAGGCATTAATACCCCTTGGCTTGCAATCGCGAATTTTCCAGGTGTGCCATTGCGTCGGTTTTTGCCTGACATCTTAAACGGAAATGTTCATAAAACTGTATGCAAAATTTGTAACAAAAATTAATACTTCAGGATATAACAGATGGTATTGTGCAGTTTTTGTCGCCATAGATGAAGTATTTACCCGGAAAATAAACGTCAAATTTCGACGAGAACGACGTTTGCCCAAATTTCGTTTTCAATTAGGATTTCATTAAGAAGTTTTAGACAGATGTGATCCCGAACCGATGAAACAAAGGCGACATTTCATTGTTCATTTTAAAGCTTAAGATATTGTGCTCGCTATTAACATGGTTATGCAGTTATCACTTATCAGAATTCAATAATAAAGACCAAAAACGTAGACTCATGAATATTCAAAAATATTATTAGCAGGCTTGACAGACTTCGACACCAGATCGGGTGCAGAGCCATGCAAATCTGAAAGCCACCGTGCGCAGGCCGTTATCACGCGTCTAACCAGTAGTTGGGCGAGTCATTGATCCTTGTGTGAAGGATCCGTGGTTATACAAACAGGTGCAGCAGATGACTGCAGGTATACTAACGAGTACATCAATTCCAAAGTAATTCAACGGGTTCATCTGATTCAAGGAATGCCAATATGTTCAATTGCCAACAGTGTATTTAATGAATCTAGGTATGCCAACCAACAGGTATATCTGATGCTAGGTATGCTAACAAGTGTTAACATAATGGATCTCATGATTTCAGGGATGCTAACAGATAATCTGCATTCAGTATTAATACTGGGCCGAGTACACTTTTTAGTATCTAAAACAAAAATCTATGTTTCTTTTGTAACGTACCCTACTTTGTCCTCACCAAACACACATGTACTGGGCAATATTTATTTTGAAGGAAATTTAATATGATTGGTGCTTTAAAATGAATTTAATATATTTTGTGTATGAACATAATTGCCATGTGATCATGTGATGTTTGTAAAGGTGCAATTGAAACGTATTCTAAGGACATTCACTGTTTTTTGTCAGCACATGGAAGAAATTCTAAATGCAATTGAATCAAAGGAAACTGAAACAGATATCGGTTACCTACAAAAACAGCAAGCTTTATTTGAAACAAATCTGGATCTGTTTACAAAGTACCGTATTTTATTAAATAATGGAAGTTTTATACATAACTTACTGAAATTGGGAAAAAATATATGTAACTTTTCTATCACTGATTTTACAAATGGAAGATCACATATATGTTGATATGCTCGAGGCACATAGACTAATTATATTTAAAACTGGAGTTGATAGTGTGTCATTATTTTACACTGAATCTACATGGACTTCCCTTGAATTATAATAAGAAATTAAAAAATGTAGCATTGTTTTCATTAAATGTTGACACTTTGACTGCTGCGCCCGAATATACTCGGGATAGCTTTACACCCCGGCAGGTGCTATGCCCGAGTATATTCGGGATAGCAATAAACGTGCTGCCCTCTGTTGAACAACAATTGATGTTGTTATTTGTTTTTTGTTAAGAATATCATAGCTTTTTTGAGTATCATATTTAATTGAGTAATTGTTCCTTGTTCCCAGCAGGGTTATATTTAGACAAAATACTCATGGTCGCATGCACATATTTATTATGTGCACTTATGATATTGGACCAATGTAATACACAAATTAAAGAAGAAAAACGGTTTACTCTGAGTGAGGAACACATCTTTGTAATGCTGGAAATGAAAAAAAAAAGAAAAAATATACATTTACCCTATGCCGAGCCTGAATAATAAATATCACCAACCGAAACTCCTAACACTTTGCTCGGATTACATTAGGCCCCCCAAAAAAGTCTCCGGTTTCTGGTATGGAGCTTGCCCAAAAAGTGGTGCGGCGACGCGGCTTTTTTTTTTTTTTACCTGTTTTTTTTTTTGCTTCAAATGTCGGCTGATGACTGCAAATGGTGCCCGACTAAACTTAGTGCAAATATTATGGGAGACCAGAGAGGCCACATAAAGCTTATTCTCGATCATAACCCAATCTAAAAACACGTTAAAATTGTGCAGCAGCAGGATTCCAGTCAAACCAGTGAGTTTGGCGGTTTTGAGACATCATCTTTCATTAAAAAAAAAACTTTGTCATTTTGCCGACGCACATGGCTACGGCGACGCGCGCGCATACCAGAAACCGGAGACTTTTTTTTTTTGGCCTTACTGAACATGCACTTTAAATCGTACAAAATGTGGCATTGAATAATACTTGATCTGTAATACATGTAGTAAAAAATAGTTTCTTCAGGGCTATCAAAAAAAAAATCTTTAAATGAGTAAATGAAACTCTATTTCAGTGAATGTTGTATCATAAAGGCCATAAATGGATTTTTTCAATGAAATTTGTATGTACCTATTATTCTTCCATGGTTCGTTTAAAAATAAATGTCCACAAATAAATACCTGAATTTGTTGCTTTATAATGCTTACAGAGTCATGTTCTGTTAGTGGTTTAATTCTTTCTGTGAAATGCTGAGGAATATATACTAGTTGTGGCAAGTATATTATTATAGTGTAGGGCTGTGCGGAATAGTCAAGTTTTCAATCATTTACTGAATATCCAAATAACATTTCTTCAATTAAAATACAAATGTATTCAAAATGTGAGCGGCCTCAAGAAGACGATGAACAAAATGTCTACAATAACTGAGTTTTTTTGTCAAATGCCCCATTTTAGTTGGAAACTTCCACGAGAAAAATTTGCTCAAATTTGTTGTTTTTTAAGTCGGTCAAATATTGGCCATTCCATTATCTCTTCTTTATAGTTTGTAATGAGGTCTTTGTCAATTTTCAACAAGCGCACGCATGTGTAAAACCTGATTGGTGGCCAGTTAGACTGGCAAATGTTCAGCGCAGATTTAATGTTCGAATATTCAATCCAAGTCTAAGTTAGAATACTCAAATTATTCGCAAATGCACAGCCCTTTTACAAATGTATATTGAGTCATATACATGTACTAATAAATCAGTCATCCTCAATAAAGTCCAACACTACCATCAAATCCCTGTTCATTATTGACATTTTGATATCAAGTTGGATCATGATTTGCAATCAACTGTGAAAAAAACCCCCAGAAAAACGATATCTTTCATGTCTTCTAGTAGGCTCTGAAAACCTACAAGCAACAAGAAAATTCTATCAGTTTGAGAAACAAGATGGCTACTTCTTAAGACTTCAGAAAGGTTACATTACTATCTCCTCCATTTATACATGATCATTACAAAATACGTGAACAAATATTTAACCCACAACCTTCAGTTTTGTTTGAAAAAAATACTGAAGTCTAAATACATGTATACATGAGTGAATGACCAACCTACGGAAGCACAATATGCACAAAAGAGTATTTACACATGTGTAGGCCTACATCAACTTGGACGGAATAGACTTTTAGACACCAAGCAATTTCATTTTCAAATGGAAGCTTATTTAATTCCCCTAGTTCCCCAAATTTGTCCAAACCCAATACTGCAATATCCTAATAGCACACTATACATTGATCGGTGGGCTCTGCTGTCTTGTATTTATCACAAGCTTACCAGATGTTGGATTTTAGCAGGTCTAACCAATTTCATTTGCAGCATTAAACATCTTGCCTTATGTGCTGATTTAAATACACCTAGCACAGTTAACCACTTGCTGCCAGGATCATTTTTGGCAAAAAATGCCATTTTTGAAGAAAGCAAGACATATTGGCCAAATGTTTTAATTTTAAGTTACTCAAAACACCACAAATACTGACCCTTGAGAGTCATTTGTACAATATTTGTAAGATACTTCTCACTGTAACTTCATATTTTGCAACACTCCGAGGCCCGGCACGGAGCGATATTTGCTACAAGGACAGGCCATGTACAGCGGCCAAGTTCAAGTTCGAAACACAGTGTGTACAAAACAACGGGAAACCACTGACATGTATACACGTCCACCTCTGGAGACGTGGGGAACTAAAAGCTTGACGATTTGACCCGTCGCCCGCCCCTGCGAACATTGTCAGGTCGTGTTTACACGGCCTCTGGCATTAACTCCGGCATTAACATTAACACTGTAAACAGGTTAAGCAAACTCTGTTATTCAAATGCATTAACCAGTGCGTGCAACTTGCAGCAACTCTCGATTACTATTTATAAACAACAGGAATTGTGTACATGTATGCACAATGTAGAAAAACCAAATTGTTGTTGGGTACATGTATCAAGTTCCAATGAGGATCACACATGACATGGTTTGGGCAGAAGGTGCACCCATCTGTATTCATGTAAGGGTTATTTACCTTGTGCATAACAATAACACCACACAGATGGCAACTGAATGCGCAAAATGTACAATACAGATAAAATGCACACAAAAGTGTGCCCACTACACTTGTGTGTAGTTTCATTAGTACAGAGACATGGAATTAGGACCTGACCAATACAGTCATGATGCAAACACTATAACATCTACTGTACATTTAAGAAGTTGGTTCTTGAGTTTGTGCAGTTTCTACTCTGTTTCCTTCTCCTCATTGTCCGCTGCTGCCTTGGAACC